GTAATGGGTAAATCATTGTAGTACTGTAGTTTTGTATTATAGGAACTACTGCTGTACTAACTACCTTAAACCGGATTTATATTAAGGTATCATGTGATAAATTGCACCATACTATCGACTGGTAACAACGACATATGAATGGTCGTAATAACGGAATGACGTTTGGCACCCGCAGACCTGCAGGTCCGGCTGTAGCTAGCAGCAAGGTGTAGGATAGTCAATCCAGTATAGATCTATACGCAAACTCACGCTCTCCCTCCAAGAGAATTCTGGCTACAACTCGGGCCATGACAATTAAGGCATGCTCCGATACAGTGGATCACAATTGTTAACGTATTCATGTATATGTAATGAAATGAACTGTTCTAGTATAGTTGCATATGTTCTTCCTCTAGTATAGTTGTATATGTTCTCTGCTAGTATAGTTGTATATGTTCTCTTTCTAGTATAGTTGTATATGTTCTCTTTCTAGTATAGTTGTATATGTACTAGTAGTAATAAGTATTAACTCATGAATGAACTGACTCATTTATCTAGAAATTGTAGTAGTATGATCCTATGTTACCCCGATGGTAACTTACTGATGATGTACTGATAAGTATGAATATGGAAGTACTTTTATGTCTATATATGTATATTTGATATATAATTAATATTGAAACGACCTTCGGACGGTCACCCGAAATCCCACCAGACCACATCTTAATGCGCGAAAAGGAAATAGGGTGGATAGCCTTCCTAAGCCCTTTAAACATTTCTTATATATCTATACATATATGGGCATGCAATTTATAAGAAGTAAAACAAAGTTAAATAAAAGCATTTGATAAGTAAAATAGTTTGAAAACATTTTGAAGTAAAACAGTTTGAACAGTGATAAAATCATTGGTTTTCTAGTTATTAATCACATGTGATTAATGTAATCACATGTGATTGATGTAATAACTGTAAGTGTTTAACTTGTATCCCCCCATAAAGTATTTAAAACATTTAAAAGCATTTCAAAGGTTAATTAAAGGGGTATGAACTCACTTGTGGTGAGTGGATTGGATTGAAGTATCGGGTACCGTGCTAGGTGGCAAACGGAGACTTGTTCACACGCACGAGCCTAGTTATCATATAATGAGCATATATATAACTAATTAGTCAATTAATAACTTAATGAAATAAGTTGGGACACTTAGGAACATGTAAACACTTTGTATAAGTGTTATAGGTCCTAATGGTTGTATCCAAGTTGATATGGGACAAGGCAAAAGGGTTTAATGCTTCCAAGGACCTTGTATAAGAGTTTACCACCCAACAAACCCCACCCTTGGAGTTTACAGTCATAAACTCCTTGAGTTTACGGCCGTGAACTCCACTCTTGGTGGTTTTGGGTGTTTTAGGGTGCTAAACTAATCCTAGAATAAGCCTAGCATTTATGGAATAATCCTTGAAGTGGTTTAAGGCCGTAGAATGCTCCATAAAGGAGTTTACGGCCTAAAGACCTTAACCCCTAGAGTTTACGGCCGTAAACTCCTATGGGGTGGATGTTTTAATTCTTTTAAGTCACTTGCACATAAAGGATAACTTCTAGGTTTTTGATTTAGGCTAAGGGGGACTTTAGGCACACATTTGTGCCTTCACTTGGAGTTTACAGCCCAAGAGTATTTCTTGGCCGTAAACTCCCTTTTAGGGATGATCTTGAAGTGTTTTGGTGTCCAAATTAGGTACAAGCATTAGAGGGTAAATGTCTTAAGCCTTAGGGGTGATTTAGGCTCACTTTGGCCCTTGAAAATGGTGTTTACGGTCCAAGAAACTCTTGGGCCGTAAACTCCAAAAGCTTGGTGTTCTTGAATGATTTCTAGCCTCAAATGTTTATACACAATGTCCTTAACTAGCTATCTAACAAAGAAACGGGACTAGATAGCCTTTAGGCTTCGTTTTGGAGTTTACTCCCCAAGAACATTCTTGGGCGGTAAACTCCCGGATCTTACAAATTTGTCATATAAACAATGTTATAAAGCATATAATAAGCATTAAAACACATTTAGGAAAGTAGACTCACGATTTGGGATGAAAACCCGAAGATCCGTGAGAGAGAAAATGGTTTTTCTCTAGTTGGAAATGTGAATAATGAATGAATTTAGTTCAGAAATCTATTTATAGTCCTGAAATATTTTGACAGAAAATATTTTTATCCCGGAAATGATTTCTAATATATATGAGTGTTGGAATAACAGTGTTGCACAAAACCGTAGCGCATCCACTCTCCTGATGTTTACTGAAGTGTAAACCCTAAATTACTCCAACTTATACGAAAAGTCTGAAAATCGACTATGACTGTTATAACTTCTATTGAAGTGATACTGTTTGTATAGAATGGAAATTTCGGGTTGTCACAGTGGATTACTTGCAGAGAAGATCATGCTTCTTGTTATTGCCATCTACTTCAACACCCCAAATCCAAGAGGGTCCAAAGGCTTCAAAAATTGTCATTCTCAAACACCCTATGGTTGTTTTAATATCATTATAACCTCTTTAAAAGGATCTTTGATGAGTTAGTTTTGTTATATACTCGAAATTTATAATTAAATTTTAAAGCTTCTGTTGCCGGTTTTTATGAAACATTATATATTTTATGTATCAAAACCCATCAGACTTCCCTCTCCTCAGTTGTGTTTTTTTGCTTGTGTCCGATTTTTTGTTGGTTGTTTTCCGATTTTTTGTTGTTCCTCTAACTCCACAGAAACACATAAATCAATTCAGGTATCTTCTTAATCACATCGATTTCACTTGTGTTACAGTTGATAACACATCATTAAGTTAAAGATTCCTGACGCAATTGCAACTTTCTAATTCATCAATTTTATAGGTTATTTGAATAAAGGATTTTATGATGAAATTACAACTTTCTAATTCACCAATTTTTAAAAATATTGTTTAGTTGTTCATTTATAGTTTTCACAATTATGTTTCTAGATTCGTTATAGAACTTGAGATTAATCTTGGTAAGATTTAAGGGAATTTTTGTAAAAGTACATATGGCCATTGTAATTCCCAATATCGTATATTGCTTATTAGCATCATTACATGATGAGTTTGTAGTTTACTCTTTTGTTTCAGATTGTAGTTGATCCTATTGTTCTACCAAAAATAAAGTCATAAAACCATTTGTTTTGAACATAAAAAACATGACTTGGTTTAATGGTAAGCTTGTGAAGAGAACAGTATCATCTTTCGATCAATTTCCTGGAAGCTATCAAAACTCATGTTGGGTAAATGGAGTTAAAATTCGAAATGAAACTCTAGTAAAGGATCAAGATTTGTAGCCGATGCAAGAATTTAAGGTTTTGATGATCCAAATGTCAAGAATTTAGGGGTTAATTTGATACAAGTGTCCAACTTAAAAAGTTTTGAATTGCTAATTGGTGTATAGTTAATTTGTTTTCTTATTTATGACATTTTCTTGAGTAGCGGAATTTCGGGTACAAAAATATTATATATATATATATATATATATATATATATATATATATATATATATATATATATATTTCCAAATGTTGAATCAAATTTGTGTTTAAAAATGTATGTTTTTATATCTTTTTAGCAATTCCATCAATTACTGTATAGAACGGAGTAAAATGATCATTTTTTATCAGTCAACACATTCACTCAATATGGTTTTCTTCTTTAGTTGAGATTTCTTAAAGTATATCTTTTTCAGTCAATAATTATTAAACGGAACCTAAGTTTAAAAGTAAATAATTTTAAAAATATACTTAGATAAATAAGTTGTTCAAAAACACCTGTATATTAAAAAACTCACAAAAAAATATATTAATTCTTAGATTTCATCGGCAAACCAAACACATTTCATATACAAGTAACACATATTTTATGTCCAAAGAAAATCTAAATGATATTAATCTATTAAGCTCAACTAATAATTATATTTTATTTTGTTTTATATATATGAAATAAATGCATTTGTTGTTCATTTTGGTGCAAGTGGGTCCACGTAATGTTTATACCATCTACGATCCGCTCAAGATACATCACACTCAAACATTGCTTTCCAATAAAATACTATTCACTGTATTCGATATTCACACCTCCATCTCTCTCATCAGGATACCTTGCTCTTCTCTTGTCACCTCGAACTCCAAACCTCCACCCACCGTTCGCTAGGGTTTCTACTTTCACACACTCCCATTCTCTCTGTGTTTTTTCACCCTAACTTTTCAAAACTTCAATTTCAACTCCTCTTTTCATCTCCCCAGATCTCTCATTCATCTAACTTATCGTCTATTCTCGATCCACTTTTTACTTCTTTTTCAGATTTGAAGCTTACCGGTATCAGATTCTTGAGGTTTGTTCCGTTGTCCTCCATTGCAATCTCAGCGTTTTGTTTCTTGAACCATTAAATCTTGCGCATTTTTGCTTGATGATACATGAATTAATTTTGACTATTTATACTGATTTTGATGGTTATCAATTTTATAACCGATATGCGTTTTAACAAGTTTATTTCAATGTCTTACTATGCTATTCGATTTAAATTTCTTCATTTCTTCTGTGGCTTTCTAGGAGTATTAGATCTCTTGCTGTTTACAAATTACAACCACTATTTTTTCGCTGTGATTATAACATATAGTGCTAGAGGGTTAGTTTTGTAACTGTTGATGTTCTGCATTCTTCAATTCTGATGTAGAATAGTATCGTTTTTCTGTTTTCTTGCTATGCGTTACATCTTTTCACATTTTGATTGGCCGATATATGTGTCGGATGCTTTTCTGTTTCAGTGCTTATATCATAATCAGCTGTTACTTTCAGTAATTCGTATATTTGAATATAGAAAAAGATAATTTGGCATATAAACTATATGCACCTCTGTTACTTATCAGGAAATTTTGTATATTTTTGCTGCTTAATTTTATCTTCCGTTGCAGGAATTGGTTTATATCTGAACTGAATTAAAGACTTTGATATCATGACATACTTTTTATAAAGTAATGGGGTCTGGTACTTGTGAGATTGTGGAGTTAGAAGATGATCCTAAATCAAGTAACTTTTCCAAGAAAAATTACCAAAAAACAGCAAACGATAAAGGGAAAAAGCCTCAAGTGTACACTAAATCAATAGAAGATGATATCAACAAGCTCTTTGAGGCCATTAATGTCAGAACATCATTTCATGGCTTCACTTTAGATGAAACAGGTGCCAATACACCAAGAAGAAACCCATCAAAGAAACCAATGAGAATGAGTACATCATCTTCTTCTTCTTCAGCATACCCAGAACCCGTATCCCTAAAACAGGCACTCCGGCGACAATGCATTTCTCATGCATCGGAAATTGCCGCCATGAAAAGATCATCAAAGCCGCCAGGCTCTCCCGCCCTCTCAGACGCCGGAAAACCCTATATAACCACCATGTACAGGTCATCACTGCCGCCATCTCCCACCTTCTCTGACACCAGAAAACCAGATATAACCACCATGAAGCGGACATCAAAGCTTCCGGAGCCTCCTGCCACCACCCTTTCCAACTCCGGCAAGCCACCAAATGTCTACACCTCAGTTAAAGCAAGTGAAGAAAGCACATCCAGTTCTTCAAGAAAGATGCTTCTAGAACAACAAGATTCCAAAATGAAGTCAAAAACCAATCTTTCAAATTCTTTTCTTCAATCAACCACGAAAAAGCCAACAAAAAAAGACGAAACTACCCTTCGGATAAACGAGATTTTACGCGAACCAGAATCTAAGCCAAGTAAGCCTATAAATAAAGCAACCCTTAAGCTAAGGCGAAAAGGGAAATTAAAGAAACTTATCATGAAAAAGAAGTCCCCTTCAGTTCCCGAAACAAGCCATTTAGTATGCCAAAAATGTCAATGCGCTTTAACACCAAACGAACCCAACGGGTCGAACCACGGGTCGACCCAAACCGGATGCGGTCCAACCGGGTCGAGTCTTTACAACCCGAATTCAAAACATGGAGATAAATCAGAGTTCACCCAAAGTTCAAATAGCAGCATTGGTGAATACAGTAGTAGCACTAGCATTAGTGAAGAAAGCAATATGAGTAGGTGTAGCATCAACAACAAACCTCATATGTCAATGGATATGAAATGGCAAGCAATTCATCGTGTCATGAAACAAAACGGGTATTTAGGTTTGAGGAATTTTAGTCTTTTGAAAAAACTTGGATGTGGAGACATTGGAACAGTTTATTTAGCGGAATTAGTAGGGACAAATTGTCTTTTTGCTATTAAGGTTATGGATAACGAGTTTTTGGAAAGAAGGAAGAAGATGCCAAGAGCACATACGGAAAGAGAAATTTTGAGAATTTTGGATCATCCATTTTTACCCACTTTATACGCGCATTTTGTATCCGAGAATTTATCGTGTTTGGTTATGGAGTATTGCCCGGGTGGCGATCTTCATGTTCTTAGACAAAAACAACCCGATCGTTATTATAATGAGCAAGCAGCAAGGTATGCTAAATATGATATTGCCAATTTGCCATTTACTTTTGGAATAAATAATTGTAAAAGTATGTTGCCATTTACTTTTTATATTTCTTCCTATTTTCAGATTCTATGTTGCGGAAGTCCTTCTCGCGTTAGAATACCTACACATGCTTGGAATCGTATACCGCGATCTAAAACCGGAAAACATTTTAGTCCGAGAAGACGGACACATCATGCTAACCGATTTCGACCTCTCTCTTCGTTGCACTGTGAACCCGACTCTCCTCCAATCGGGTCCCACGGACCCACCACGGGTCTCGGGTCCATGTGCGGGGTCCAATTGCATCGACCCGTTTTGCCTAAAACCCACATGCCAAGTCTCGTGTTTCGCGTCTCACCGGGCCCACAAACCGAAACCGGACCTTAAAGCACATTACCCGCAACTTGTGGCGGAGCCGACGGAGGCGCGGTCAAATTCGTTTGTCGGGACCCACGAGTATTTGGCTCCGGAGATTATAAAGGGAGATGGGCATGGAAGTGCGGTTGATTGGTGGACATTTGGGGTGTTTTTGTTTGAGCTTTTGTATGGGAGGACACCGTTTAAGGGTTTAGGGAATGATGAGACGTTAGCGAATGTGGTTTTGGAAACTTTAAGGTTTCCGGAAACGCCGATTGTTAGTTTTCAGGCGAGGGATTTGATTAAAGGGTTGTTGGAGAAGTCGCCGGAAAATCGATTGGGGTCGCAGAGAGGGGCGGCGGAGATTAGGCGGCACCCATTTTTTGATGGGTTGAATTGGGCTTTGATACGGTGTGCGGTTCCGCCGGAGGTTCCGGAAGGTTGTGATGTTGGAGTGAGTAATAGCGTTGGTGGAGGGAACCTCCAATTTGAGCTGTTCTAGGCTTATCTTGTGCCTGATACAATGTATGTATAAGACATAATGTGTCTTGATGCGTAATTGTATTAGACATGATGTATCTTCTTTGCTGTAGTTTCTACTACATAATGTAAATGTGGTTGAAGATGCAACAAAATGGTTTATAGTTGATGATTAGTCAAGCATATAATAACCGCATATTCTATTCTTAGATAAATTTTTGCCAATTCCTTAAAAGCGTCTGTTCGTTATTCAAATTTAAACCAAGACAAAATGGCAAGAGAGAGAGAAAGAGAGAACAAATATAATGTGACTTTTTTTATGCAAGTACACAGCAATAACTGGCACATTGTTACTTTCTGTAGTATGCAGATTCAATAAACCATTTTTTGAGACTTTTTAAAAGTATTAGTTTTTACTTCTATAAAAGAAAATCAATTAAAGAAACAAATTTTTGTTTAAGAACACAAACTTGTAGGCGTTAATATAACAAAAGACTTGTAAATAATATAAAAGTTATTTCAATTAACTTTTTGTTTTTAATTTTTATTTACATGGAATTTTATATATTTTAAAAGTTACAATTATTTTTCTCAACTTCCAGCTTTTAATTTAGTGTTTTGATATGTAGATTAAGATTTGTCTTTATAATTGTAGTTGGTTCTAGTGATGGCCCGATGGGAGTGTTCGTGAATGGCATAATTTTTTTGGTGATAGAAACACAAATTCAGTTTGATACAGTCGGTCTAGTTTCTAATACTATTTATTATTTTATTTTTTTTAACACAATACACAAACAAATATTAATGGAAATATAAAATGTGAGGGGAAAAAAAAAATACAAAACTAATATATAGAATAGTTCACGTTACCATCAAAGTTCAAAATTTAACTTCAAATGTGGAATAAATCCAACTATTTAAAGCTCTTATTTGAAAACATACTACAATGCGTCAGTCACGATTCACACATTATGTGAGATGCAACAATCCCGTGACAATTTTTTTATTTAACTCACAAAATCAGTTTGCATATATCAGTTTATGCTAAATTATAAAATTCGTAAAAGTATTAATAAAGCTTTTGACCTTTTCTAGTTTTGTGTTTGAGCGATTTTAAATTTGTTCTTTTAGAAATGTGATCATAGAAAAAGTGAAACTTTTTGAATTTTCTGGTTTTTTTTTTTTTTTTTTTTTTTTTTTTTTTTTTTTTTTTTTTTTTATGACCAACGTTGGCAACTAAAATTTAGACAATATTACACAACTAGTCCTTGTAGTTAACCAAAGATCACAAAGTCAGTCCATGCTAATTTATTTTGACGTAGATAGTCTTTGTGGTTTGTAAAACTTGCGTGAAAAATCCTTATTGTTTACGTCATCCATTTTGAGCCGTTAGTGCATATCACATGCCGCACATATGGGGGTATTTTAGTCTTTTGACAATCCACGCTCATTTAATGGCACTTAGCTTAATTAAACAACCCCTAACCATTCAAACTCACATACCCCAAGAAAACCCTTTGTTTACATTCATCTCTAATCACCATCTACATGAGGATGAAATCCCTAATTATTTCCATCTTTCTTCTGAAATTGGGTTTAACAGCAAAAAAAAATGGTATTTTGCATGTAGAATTTATGTGGTCCTGATACGACTGAACCAGACCTTGAACAAGATTACAATAAGTTCTTGCACTTGGTACTTTGCATGTGAAATTTGTGTTTCTTTGGTTTGTATAATGAAAGCATGTTGATGTTTTTTTTTTCCCAGATGGTTCTCACACTTGGATCACTTTAAAGATATATCATAGTGAGTTTTTTACCAAGTATCCAGGAAGAAAGTACATTGAGGGAAGGTTGGAATGAAATGACATGATTAAAGAATTAGGGTATGGTCAGGATGCCACAATATACTACCATTATAGAATTCCTAATCTAGACTTAGATTTTAGATTGAAGGCACTTGGAATGATAAAGATGTTATTTCTAGGGCTCAATATGTCCTTACAAATAGAGTGTTTAATTTGTATGTTGAACATGGTCAAACTAGAGTCCAAACTTATTTCATGCCCTAACTAAAATGGTTATTGAGCAACTGCATGATGACTCTTCTCTTGAACTTAATAGGATTAGGCCTAAGAAGAAGGAAAATGGTTGTTGCAGCAATAAATTGGACATGAATGTCCCACCTAAAGAGTCATTTTTTTAGAGATATGTACAAGATGAGATGTATGATTACTCCATATTCCTAGTTCCTTTTTAGCCATCTTAACTTACTAAATATAGTATGACTGACAAAGAACATGATGTTACTAATTTGTATGTCCCTATACCAAAAGAAGCTCATGTTGTTAATGATTTGTATGTCCATGATTAAAGAGAAAGACGAGATAATTTTGATCCTTTTAGTGACATCAGAAATGAAAATATGGATGCGTATGAGAGAGAGGTTGAATATGATGAAGAAAATGGTCAAGAAGAGGAGGAATAATAGGACGAAAAAGAGGAGGAAGATCTGGATGATGGTGAGTACCTAGTAGACCCATAAGCACTTGTAGATGACTGTGATGTGGATACAATTGAATTTACTAAGTATTGTGGATGATGTTGAATGGTTTAGACAAGCACCAAGGACACATCAGAGTTAAACCAACATGGGGGATGAATTAGAGGTGATTAATAATGTTGAGTTTGAAAGTGTAGGATTTAAGGAAGACTAGGAAGGGGATGTTAAGAAAGTTGAACAAGAAAGTTCCATGTTCATATGGGGTACTTCATGTTAGATCATTTTTCGTAGGACAAGCTTTTAAAACAAAAAAAGATATGCACGGTCAAATAAAGTTTCTTTCAATCCACAGTAGGAGGGGCCCTACACATGGCGAAAAATAACAAACTGAGAATAAGAGTAAAGTGTAAATGGGTGGTTCCAGATTCCAGTGATGGGCCTTTATATTTCGTAAAGTCACATCCCATGGCAAAACAGTCTTTAACAAAATAGGTTCTTGTCCATTCGCAATTCATATTTCTAGTTGTACAGAAGAAGAGCCTTGGTTGGTGAAAACACTTATTAATGAGCATTTGTTCTTACAAAGAATAAATATGAAGGCATGTATGTAACGTCCGTAGATTCGGGCTAGTCAATTTAGAGGCAATAAATGTCGAAAATGACTTTTTGGCAAAATATTATTTAGAATAAATAATCTTAACCAAGCTGTAGAATATGTTACAAGGTTTCCTTATATATAAAGACCGCCGAAATCCGAGTTATAACGAAGAAGTTATGACCCGTCGAAGTTTCGCGATGGAACCGGCACAATACCGGGAAACGTAAATAGTGAATTTACGATAGAGAGAGATTTAGCCTTAGCGATCTAAACGAAAGTCATAGAATACGTTAAACCGAAAGCGTCCATAAAAAGAACGCCCAAATCTGACTTCGTATAGGGAAGTTATGATTTTTCGAAGTTTCGGATTAGCAGTGTACAGTCTGAAATTTGAACCTAAATGAGAATCGAAGATCTCGTTATTAGTAGCGTAACGATAAAAAGACAGACGGAAATGGAAATCGGATGAAGAAGTTATGAGATTTTAACGGATCAATCCTGTCCCGGCCTGTTAAAAATATAACTTTAAAAATAAAGTCAAAATTAGCCAACGGAGTCCAAACAAAAGTTGTAAAGTACGTCTCCACCTACGCGTGGATATAAATAACGTCAAAAACGGAGTTCGTATGAACGAGTTACAAATTATAATAGCATATTTACGTATTAAAATAAAGTATAAATCATATATACGTACACACACACACACACACATATATATATATATATATATATATATATATATATATATATATATATATATATTGTAACGACCCGTTCCCGGTATGTTGATTTATTGGTAATTATAGTGAGTTTTTCAAGAGGGACTCGGCGAGTTCTAGCCTGACTCGCCGAGTAGGGTCGCGCCTGAGGGCACGCGTGAGCCGGGGACTCGGCGAGTCCATATCCCTGACTCGGCGAGTCCATCTGTCTAGGTGAAACCCTAAATTCCCCGGGTTGCCCACTATTTAAACCACCTTATAGCCCCCATCCTCGCCTCCCTCACCCTGAGAACGCAGTGTTAGAACCCTAAACCTCCCTTGAAGAGCTTATATGTGTTTTGGAGCCATTTTGTGAAGGTGTGAAGAAGGAGAAGAAGGAAGAAGCAAGGAGAAGTGTTGTAGTGCAAAGATCCAAGGCCAAATCAGAGTTAATTGAGGTATTTTCGGAGTTCCATCTTGTTATACGCTTTAAACTTCCATTAGAGCTCTCCTAAGAGCTAGTTGATGCTTGTTCCAAGCCTTATGTTTGCATGAATGTCTTAATAAGCCGAAATAGCTATGGATCTGAATGTTGGGGTGTTGTAGAGCCCAGATCTACTGTCTTTTTGGAGTTATATTGCATGATAACCATAGATCTATCCATTTTGTGCATCTTTTAGCCTTATTTCCCTTATTCATGAGGTTGTACACATAAAGTTGGAAACTTTACGTGGTAAATCAGCTTATTGGACTCAGATCTATCAATTGTATGCATTGGATTCAAACAAAATCAAGTAAAAATCAGTTGCATGGCGGCAACTCGGCGAGTCGGAAGAATGACTCGACGAGTTGGGTCGCGAGTCCCGAGTTCTTCAGTTTTATCAGTGTCGAGTGGACGAGGTGATTTAGGGAGTGGACTCAACGAGTTGAGGGTAAACTCAGTGATGGGGGGGACTCGGCGAGTTGTTCATCAACTCGGCGAGTCCAAGGCAATCTTCTTAAAGATCAAGAACAACTCGTCGAGTTTGTTCATCAACTCGGCGAGTCGGATGAAGATTGTCTGAGTTCTTGGATCAAGAGGGTACTCGTCGAGTCGATGCCAGACTCGATGAGTAGCAGTGAGTAAGAGTGAAAAGTGAGAGTGGGACTCGGCGAGTTGGGTGGCCCAACTCGGCGAGTCAGCCCAAAAGATAATTGACTTTGACCAAGGGTAAAAGAGTCATTTTACCCCAAGCGCAGTGTTTAGTATTTGATTGAGTGTGTTTATGGACTTGTAGCCGAGGAGATTCAGGAGCAGCCGCCGTTAGCTTTCCGAGCCACACACTCAGCAGCCAACTTACGAGGTGAGTTTCCTTCCAGTAGGAACGGGTCTAAGGCCACAATGCCAGCACGTTCAGTTAGCAGTAGCTTCCGGATTTAGGACCGATGCAGTAGTTAGTATGTTCGATGCCTTCGTGGCTCGAACAGGATTTATGTGCTATGTTTTATGTGTTAAGTATTATG